AAAAAACAGAGAACAGTTTCAATGATGTTTCTTGGCTCTGGTCAAGCCTGATGTGATTCAAGTTATCATTTTATGTTCACTCGATATGCATATTATGTGTTTTTATGTATTACCAAAGAAGCCGTTCATTTATGAAATGCTTTGGTGTCAAAAAAACCAAAGCATATGATGGAATAATTCCCAAGTTGAAACTGGTCACTGGATCTTTTGTTAGTCGCTTTAAGGTGTCGGGCTTAGAGCAGAAGCCCATGACCAATCAAATGGAATCTGGGGCTTAAGGGTAAGATTCGAAAGCCACAAACCAAGAGGAACTTTAGCATCAGTGCCATACTGAATCACTGATACTGCTATATCCGGTTGTCCTTCGTATATATCTTCTGATGGAACTATATATCTAGTAAAGACTGTATAGTATTTAGAACACAGAAGAAAACCCTCCCTTGCCTTGTGATTTTCAGGAGTAATAGGGAAATGGAAAGAGTATTGTGGGGAATTTTAGGTAGGGATTGGAGTGGTGTGATTAATATGACACTTGTAAAACAAAGTGGGCATTTTCACACACACACAAAAAAGAAAAAGGGAAGAAGAAGAAGAAGAAGAAGAAGAAGAAGAAGAAGAAGAAGAAGAAGAAGAGGAACACACACACACAAAGGGGAGATGTCATTTTCTTCACAATGACACCACCCACCCCCAACCCTTATTTCCAACCTTTCTTCCCTTTCCACGACTTGTCCAGCGCTAGAACTAAAGCATTATTTTTTATGCTGTGGTAAGTTTGGTGAAATGGACATCATACTTGACAAGTACAATAAATGCTGCTTGTTTGGTTTGGCTTTAGAATTCTAGATTTTCTTTGTTTTACTTCTAACGTTCTCATCAGTTCTATTCTTCTACAATCTTCTTGTTTCGATCTTTTGTTGTTAGATGATGACATCCTTCCGAAGATTTTTTGGAATCTGGAATCGTCATTATGGTGTTTGTATAGAAAGCTACAATGCCTGCTTTTAAATTTTATAAGGACAGACTCATATTTGGGTGTTAAAAAAATAAACTTCATACACGCTAGAAGGAGGGCTTGAACCTCCGACCTTGTGGTTAACAGCCACACGCTCTAACCAACTGAGCTATTCCAGCCAATTGAATGGCATTAACTAATTTTTATTTATATACTTTAATAGATGCCGGAACTTTAAATTCTACATTCAAATCTCTGATTGTTCAAAAGGAATAGTCTTTGTGGAAGCCCATCTTATTGGGCCATCCGACCTCTTCTCACCTACTAAGTACTAAAATCCATCATGGACTCATGTCAACTTGAACCCCAAATGGACATTACGAAAGTTCGACTCAAATTGCCCAATTAAAATGAGTGACAGATTGAAGTAAGAACTCAACGCACAAAGCCGTATGACCATAAATACCTATTTCTCTCCATATAAGAATGGTTGGACTATTTTTTTTTTTTCCTCCAATAAAATAGAAATTTCATTTAACACATAAAATTTGCAACAATTAATAGATGAAAGTCATATTTATTCTTAACTACTATAAACTACTATATATTTGTTTGATTTAATTAATTTAATTAATTTATAATTTTTTAAATTATTCATTAAATTGTTTGAAAACATTTATTTATAATTTAATTTTAAATTATTAAA